GGGTCAAACACGATTTCTCAAGCGACTGGTGTGACCGCTTTATTTTGTTATATTCGGTGAAGGATTAAACATTGTTCATAAGATAAATGACTTGGTTACTATGTTTATTTTGACTTCGTTTCTCGACAACCAGATATTGTTTCTAAGATGAATGATATTGTTTTTCTTTCTATGGGGTCTTTACTGCTTGAACTTTCAGGGTCAGACATTGTTTATAAATTAATGATTCGATCGCTTGTTTATTTTGTGATGGTTTATTAACAGATTTAAGATATTGTGTATAACACGAATGACCCATATTACTCTGTTTTTTTTTTTTATATAGTAGAAAAAAAAAATGAACATTATTAATAAAATGAATGATTCAACTCTTTGTGTGTTTCTTCTGAGGGAGATTCTTGCCAAAAAATTAATATCGTTATAAGATGAATGGTTTCGTCTGAGGCCACACACACTTAATGAGAACTTATCGTAAAATTATATATATATATATATATATATATATATATAAAGAAGATTAGCCAAACATTGTTTATAAGATGAGCGATCTGACTATTGCCTTATCACAAATAAGAAAGTATAATCAAAATTATAATTAAAGGTAATTGGGTCCGACTGAGCATTGTTTCTAAGATGAATGACTCAACCATATGCCTACTTTGAACAATGAGCGAGAGGGATATATAAAACTTGGTTAATAAACAGTTTAGAATTGACTAAACATTGTTATATGATTAATGATTTAGTCACATGCCCAACGAAGAAAAAAGTATTTATACAACACGTTCATGTGTAACTATGACAAAGAGTTAGACATTGTTTTGAAGATGAATGACCTAACTCAATGCGCTATCTAAGTTGGAATAAAGAAAGGGTTTAACCAACTACTTATATGTTAAAACAACTTGGGGGTTGGTGAGGGACTTACTTTGGTTGTATATGTCTCTATGGTTGTGAGTCCGATTTCGATTTTCCATTTGATAGATAGTTGCTTTGATGCTCGTCGTGTGATGGATAAGGAATTAGTTAAATTTTTATCTTTTCAAATTTAAGTTATTTTAAATTCATATACGACTTTGTATAAAATTTGGAAAGTCACTTTCATTAGGGGAAGGATTGTCGAATTTTATACATATGTGAAGAGTTAGTCAAATTTTATTTTTACATAAATACAAAAATTTGTTTAAAGTTTATATCTGACTTAGTATAAATTTTGGAGGTCCACTCCTCTATTTACTAATTTAGAGAGTTTGACAAAATTTAACTTTGTAAAGTTAAAGTCTTATTGTAATTTTAATATTTAACTAAGTAAAAATTTCCCCAAAACACTTTAGCTAGGGGAAATGCTGCCGAAAATTTTCAAATTTAAGGAGAGTTAGATTATCTTTGAGTAAGGAAAAACTTTGACAATTCATCCTGTACATGAGAGATGCTGTTCAAAATTTCCTTAAATTTTTATAACAATCAGAGAGGGGTTTAAACTCAGTCTCATAAGTCGTTAAGATGTAATATGAGGTTTATCCTCCATATACTTAAAAGTAAATTTTTTTATATTGATCTGTGTTGTGTTACATGTCCTCTTCGTTCACTTCAAGTCAAGGTTGAATAGTTTCGGTTTGATCCTACGAGGACCAACTTCTGCTATCTTTTGATAACAGGTTGGTTTACGACTCAACTCAAACTCATTCTCTCAACTTACCTAAGACTTTAACCCCGATGGATTGCTACGTTTTTCAGGTTTTCACCTAGACTTCTTTTAATGATCTTTATAAATGAACCGATTAGCTTGTTGTAAGAGTCAAACAATAATTGTGGTTGTGTGTATGAGACAATATGTGATTGTAAGAGAATGGTAAAGTTAACCACATTAGTGTCCGACAATATAACTTTTGCGTGTGCGTATATGTTATGTAGGTCAGTGTTTGGGGCTTAATGAACAAGCCACACCTTGGAGGCAGTGAGAATGACAACCATACGTCACGCGATCTACATACTTAATCAACTTACTTTTCACCCTTTTATATTATTTATCGAGTTCAAGTTGTGATGGATATATGGGTGTTAGGATGCTTGATTGTTTGTTTATTGATTTGACATGTTTTGATTTTGCTTATTAAGTTTAATAGTTGAACGTTGAGGTCTGGGAGGGCTGTCAAAGTCATACCCCTTTACCCGTTCCAAGGCCTCCGAAGATGGAGCCTTTTCCCATAAGTCAGGGGCGTTTCACGACTATAAAGGAACGAAACCTGCCTACCGCTTATCTCAGCAATGTGCAGAAGAGGGTGGGACCTGCAATCACATTCACAATTATTTAGCGTCATAAGATTAGCGACCCAAGATGTCAGCAAACACTTTAGTGTGGAAAGTTATTATCAACATCATTGAGGATCGCATGCTTATGGTAACCACATAGTACGCCATCCTCACAATTAATTGCGCATTCATGCATGGTTAGTCGATATGATAAAGTTCGAGTTGCCGCGCTATTTTTATTCAATTTTGCGTGTGATGCCCCCGTATTATGTTGTTGAAAGGTTATGGGTCAAAGTAAAGTGAATACGGGACTAAGTGCAAGTTAGCTATGAAGTTTGGTTTTATTATTATGAAGTTCATCACGTTGTTAGATTGACTGTCCTAGTCGACCGACGTAGAACTGCGCTAGGATGATCAACCCCTAGAGCGTTGGTTCGCGCGAGGGCTTGATTAAGGCGTTCAACCTTGTGTACTCTTTCTGCTACAGCGAACGAGAAATGCCCTTGGCTGAGCCACCTCTTCAACTGCACTCGAGTAACTTTCGCACGTGGTTCAGAAACTCAGGGGGGATACGCCAACCTAAGGGTGGTGACAACCCCTTGGGTACAATTATATTGTGCCTCCCGTGACCTCTATCTTGTCGTAAGGGTTCGCTAGAGGTACGGTTGACGCACTTGTCCTGAGTGGCGAATGTTTTTGTGCAAAAGTCATGCAAAATCCTGTGTGATGCGGCCGGGAGTGGCCCCCTATGGGACCAATGCGCGTGACACCGCAACCCTTAGGGTTGCAAACTATTTCGTAACTCTTACGACTACAAATTATGCGGGGGGATTTTACTCATGAACTTTATGTATACTGTATAGGAGCGGGGAACGCAACCCTAAGGTAGTCCAAGCAATGAGACTAAGCACTCGTACAAGGGGGGGAGAGAGAGAGAGCGCGTGCGCGCGCGCGCGCGCGCGCGCGCGCGCGCGAGAGAGAGAGAGAGAGAGAGAGAGAGAGAGAGAGAGAGAGAGAGAGAGAGAGAGAGAAAGAAA